AATGCAGACCAGCTACTGTGGCTGACTAAACACTATTTTTACCTTCACCAAAGAAGTTAAGTTTTCATCTGCACCCGTTTATTTATTTGTCTACCATGTAAAAACTCATGGACAGATTACCAACAAGCTCGGTGAAAGGATGTGGTATTTATCAGGGAAGAAGTCGTTATATTTTGGAGCAGATCTGGATCAGGGGGAAGATCCAGGAATTGTTTTCACTGTCTTTAACATTGTAAGAATCAATAATTTCCCAAGAAATAATCCATGGATCTATATTTTATTAAATCAAGCTCATATATGAGCATTTGAGTGTGTGCAATCTAGTGCAGTCTGATTGAATTTAAGGGGACTGTTGGGCCCTGGTGGAGATATCCACTCACATGAGGGCTATACTAGTTATCACTACAATATACAACTGTTTTTTTTACATGCGACCAAAAGTAAACCCGTACATTATTTCCCAATAATCTTTGGTCTGCAGAATGCCTGCTTTATTAAAGCACTGTAAATTTAAAGTTTTTCTATGTGTGTGTTGGCATTGTAACATACAAATGGTGGTCAGTCAGAGTTGTAGTCAGACATGGATAACCCAGTTCTCATGGTAATCCTCTTTCAGATTGACGCAATAAACACACACAAACTTCACATGCACACAGAAGCTTAACCAGGAATCTTGCTATCACATAATGAGGTTTTGAACCCCTACCCAAATTTCTCTTACCGCAGTGTTGCATATTTCCTCCTTTTTGCCCACACACACGCCGGCACAGACTTGCATGTAGCTCAGTGTTATACACAGTGTGCTTTATGAGGTCACAAATGTGGGTTTGCATACATACTATGTTGAAGGGCCATGTTGTCAAATTAACATCCTCATTTAGTGTGCTTGAAATTCTACCACCACTTTCACTTTTGAGGGGCTGTCATGTCATCCATCTTTATTTAGAGTCTATGGTAATACCTCTAATTTTGCCAGCATGCAGTCAAGACCAGATCTACTCACCCAGATTTCCTGTCCTGCAGAGGTTGAGTTGTTGGAGCTGCTCTCCACGAAGATGAGATGTGTAGCTGTGAGGTACAATGTGCCGTTTGTGGATTTGTTGCTGAAGCGATCCAACAGCCGCACCTGCTCCACCTGCAAGCCAAACGCGAAATCAGTTACAGTCTGCGGAGCAGAGCGAAAACAAGGTCTTGCTAACAGAAACGAAACCCGTTAAAAAATGAGCAGTTGGCAAATCACCTAATCCACTACATTAGCTGCCGGTCTGATTATTATAACAGTTGAAAATCATCTCAGGATAACCAACAAAAAGCCTAATGGTGGTAGTCACTGAGTGATTCAACAGCCATAATAAATAAACCTGACGCTCTTTAATTTAACTGATCCTTACCAACTACTGGTTATTCAAAATGTGCCCTCATCCATAAACTCAACCCATCCTTTCTGATAAACATTAACAAAATGTTTGACACAGGAAGAGGGTTGTGGTGCAGTAGCTGTTACAAACAAGGGGTTTTATATTTCCTGGTTTTCAGAACACCCACTTATAAATTCATTAATGAAGGTTGAGGTACAGTTCAGGTAGTTGTCAACATCATATTTTAGCCATTTCAAAAAAAAGCTAAAACACACCAGTTACATTTGAAGTGAAAGCATGAAAATTATCACCAGCCTTCTGGGATAACTGGCAAGTCTGTGGCACTGTAACTGTTCGGGTCGTGGGCTGAAGAGTTGGGAAACCTCTGTATTTAACTAAACTCCTAGCTAAATATCATAAACCTTAACAAGATCCCAAAATGAAATATACTCTGGAAAATACTGTTGATGGACATGTGCAGTCTTCAGTTATGCATTCTTCTGAAACCCTATTTTTTGCTCCAAAAGTCATCAGAATAAGTTTTCTCCTTGCTGAAACAAAGTATGCCTGTTGTTGTGACCCTTGAACCGTTTGTTGCTGTGGCTGCAAACTGTCCGAATCCATGATTCATCACAGCGGTAGTTCATTTGTTGAGTCAGACATCCTCTCCTTTGTTTCCGTTTTCCTGTTGCTCTCAGATATGACGAAATGCTTGAGCACCATCTCTGTCTCCCAGCAACAGCTTCATCGCGGGTGAGCTCTCCTCAGTAGGAAGTCGAGGAGCGAGTTGAGTGAAAAGAGATACAGCTTATTCTGCCTGATGATAAAGTTCATTATGTTAATCTCTTTTTTTAAGCAACACTAAGCGGTAGTGCCCACTGCAGCCACATGTGGTGATTAATTATATTGGGCTCTGTGTTTTGTGCGATAAGCTAGTTCACTTATAAAAGGCTACCAATGTGTTGACAGATGCTCTGAGTGCACAGAATTGAAACACAACTGCACGCTGCATATAACCTGTGATCCCCGGCTTCCTGAACCAGAAGAGATGCTGCTGTGACAGATACACTTAACTCTTGATATTTTAAAGGTTTTCTTGCTGAACACTGGAACTGAACACTGGTTTTTAATGACTTCCAACTCTTTTTAATTGATCTACAGTTCGGTCTGAATCTGGCAATTTAAGCTTTGACTACCTGTCAGTTACACACTTCTCGAAGGACATTGCACCTGCACACCAAAGTTGCATATACAGCAAGAACAGACGGGTGGGAAATGGGAAAGACAACGACATCATTCTCCCTATTCCGAGTCAGTGAACGATCGAAATTGTTTCAAAGCTGCTGTTTTAAGGTTTTAGAAAAGTGTCTAGTTCATTATTGTGAATTCCTAGATTTAGCCATTTGTGTTCTTTTGCAGTTATTACTGTAAAACTACACAATAAAAGAAGTTCTATTTGTTTGTTTTCTGTATGTTTTGGTTTTAAAGGGTTTATTCAATCCACAGACGCCACCTGCTTCACACTTTGTGTCTTTTCAGGTGATGCTCAGTGAGGCCTCCTGTTTGTTCGGGAGCTTATTTGGCCTCACGGTGGAGTCCGGGAAGTGATTTAGAGGTCATGTTATTTGGCTGAGCCATTAAAAACAATCAGGAAGAATGAATAACCCCAGCCCCTGGTTTTTTTGATTATGTTTAGGATAACAACAGAGTAAAATAGAAAAAGTAGGTCAGCATGAGCACCTTTAAACATTATCACTGTCTGTATCAGTGCTGCTTTTCTGATGGGTGCCTAATGGGACATTATGCCTGAATGGAGCTCGTGGGGTTTCATCACTCTGGAAGCACTGGCTGTAAAAAGAAGCAGCATGCAAGGATTCAGTCTGTGACGTTTGACAGCTACACAGAACTAACGAAGAAAAGAATAAGTGCGGGAACAAAGCAGACTACAGTTGATAACCCTTCATATTTCTGTTTCGGTTTAGAGCATTGATAAAATCACAGATTCCTCTCTCACACCGGTGTCACTCAAGGCTAGGTGGGTGGAGTCCAAACAAGCTGCTAGGTGATAAACGTGTGCCTTGAAATAATAATGTACGGCTTCAACTTTAGTTCTTGGACTCTTATGGTGATGTTCGGTGAGGCCTCCTGTTTGTTCGGGAGCTTATTTGGCCTCAGCTTGGAGTCCAGGAAGTGATTTGGAGGTCATGTGATTTGGCTGAGCCATTAAAAGACAATCAGGAAGAATGAATAATCCCAGTCTGTCCGTGTGCAGTTTAAATTGTTTGTGATCCACCAGTAAATCGAGAGGGGAGGTCAGAGCACCTTTAAACACCATCAGGTGTCTGTAGAGTCAGTGCTGCTTCTCTGATGGGTGCATGAGTGTGACATTAAGCTTGAACGCAGCTCGGTAGAGTTTCTTCACTCTGGATGCACTGACTGATTACCAGGAAGCCTGCAGAGGAAAAACAAACAACTCATCCATGCACGTCACGTCTGAGCTGCTGGCGACACCTGCTAGCTACCAGGCTAACACACTCATTCACACACATGTCGTCTGAACGGTGATATCAGGCGAAGGTAACCGACATGACACGCATCTCAAACATCCTCCCTCTCCACATTAAGCAGTTAAGGCCGAGCTGCAGACTGTAATCCCGGCCATTCGTGATTAGCTGGAGACGTTAGCTACCTTCGGCGTCCGGATGTGCTCCATTTCTTCTCCCCCAAGTGAGAAACAACGACAGCGGCAAAGACACCGAGGGCTTCAGGCGACAAGCTCCGGTGAAGACTCGTTCATTTGGGAACGTGGCGGCTGAAGGTGCAGCACAAACCTCCTGCACTTTTGTCGCAGACACACGGTTGTGTGTTTATTGTGAATTATTCTCACTCCTCCATCCGCGTAAAGGTTCCGGTGCTCACGTCAGCGCGGGCGGTGTGGGGGCTTCAAAAATAAAAGTTTGTGTATTTAAATGACATAAAAAAAGCTTTCGAATATATAAACCGCTTTGTAAATTGTGCATGTATGAGAAAATATTGATAAGTTAAATAGCAGTAAATTGCATTATATTAATGCACAGTATATAAGTAATAAGGGACACGAGTGAATAAGTAATAATGCATGTGTTGCCTCAGGCCCTCTTTATATACAGTCTATGCCCTATTTTCTTTGGTAATCCAGTCTTGTATAGTGTAGGATAAGATAGAAAAAAAACAATAATGACAGCCATTAAATGAAATAGTTTCTTATTGTTTGCTTTGTAACTGTTTCCTATCGTTTGCCTTGAATGTATTAATTTCTTTTACTTGTAAAATACATTGTAACTGTGAAAGGGGTTATATAAATAATAGTTTTTCTTATTATTATAAGATTACAAATAGCAAGCAAGTATGTCAAGAAAAAGTTTAGTTCACTTTGAACGTTTATTATTAAGATACAATTAATTTGTAGAAAAACACTCACAAATTGGATAATCAGCTGCATAAGGAGTGGAAATTTAAAAAAAAATAACATTGGGCAAAAAAAGCACTAAAAGATATAAAGATTCTGAGTGAAAACAATACCAATCTTGAAATTACTTAAATTCGTGCATCTACCATATTTTTTAAGGCTCAGATTGTACATTATTTTGAAAGTAATACCGGAAGCATGTGTGGCCTTCTATCGTGAATATGTTGCTGTGGGAACATCCGGAAGTCCCAGAGTTCGCGTGTCCATCACGCGATACAGAAACAAGTGATATGGACGACGGGAAATGTAGTTGGAGGACAGATTACCCGAAATGCAACAGCACAGGGGGGAATACCACCAGGCGGGCAATAGGAAAAGAAGCAGCATGCGAGGATTCGAACTGTGACGTTTGGCAGATAAACAGAACCAAAGAAGAAGAGAAGAAGTGCGGAAACAGAGCGGACTTGAGTTTCAAACCCTCCATGTTTGTGTTGTTGTGCTCTGAGTAAAGATCCAACCGCAGATTCGTCTCTCACGCCGGTGTCACTCATGGCTAACTAGCGTGTTAGCTGTGATGCTGGATCATCTCGGCGAGAGGGTGAAGTCCAGATAAGCCGCTCGGTGATTAATGTTAAAATAAAAATGTCCGGCTTCAACTTTGCAGCGGGGACCCTCGGTCCCACCACCGCGGGCGGGGGGTTCGCCTTCGGAGCGGTAACCAGGTAATGACATGTTGTCAATTAGCATACTTAGCTAACGCTGCCGTAGCCGGAGTGAACCGGTGTTTGTGTTGGAAGTCTTGTTTCCTCTTTAATATGCGCGGCTTTCTGTCGCTTAAGACGTCACCGATTATCATTTAATGTATTATATTTCAGTAGCAATGCATAGAGTCAACATTTGGAGGGCATGTGCTCTTAAATCGCCTGTTTTGAATTCCCAAACGTGATGTTGATTTACAAGCTCCATCACTTCATCAGTTTGTCAATAAAATGAGGAATCCCTATGTTTTCTGTGTTATTCTGATCCTGTATATGAATCCCCTGTCTGTCTGTCTTCCTCTCCAGTGCACCTGCAGCCAGCACCGGTGGCTTCTCCTTCGGGAGCGCTCTTGGTGCAGCAGCAGCAGCAGCTCCCCCGGCCTCCACCACCAGCACAGCCCCATCTCTGGGCCTGGGCGGCAGTCTCTTCGCTCAGAAACCTGCTGGAGGGTTGTCTTTTAACACGCCTGCCCAAAGTAACACCATCACACAGGCCCAGTTCACATCTGGTATGACAATCTAGATTTCCTGTCACCACTTGTGTTCAGATCTCACTGTGTGCAAATAATCAGTCATTTGTGTTCCCAAGGACCAAACCAAGTCACTCTGAGAATTCAGATGTGTTTGATGATGGCGAGAAAGAGAGCAGAGTCAGGAGGGGCTGAATGAATGAATGTGCAGCACACAGGTGTACTACGAAGGAGATGTTGTGTTTATGGCCTCAGAAAAATCAATGTGTAGTGATTGTCCAAATCCACAGGTTCCGATCTCGTTTATTAGGGTCAACCAAAATTAATCCGTTCCGGGTTTTACCGCAGGTCTTCATAAACCATCAACTCAGGGAAGTAAACAGAGAGAAGCGTCCGCGTCGCTTCAGTAACAGCGTTCACACATACAACATGGTCAGGCCACTCACGGTACCGTCGATGATCACATCGGTCAGTCAGTCGAGCAGTCGCCAAGGCCGCAGCTCCAGGGAAACTCCGCAGGGAATAAACAGTCCGCGGATTATCTCCGGATTTTCGAGACGAGGTGTCCGCTCCCGAGCGGAGACAACACGCGGACTTTACGACGCGTTTTTGTAAAGATTAAACAGACGAACCACTCGGACCTCCACACTCGTTGCTCTGCGGCTGAAAGTCACTTCCATGTGTTTGTTCAGATTCCGCGGGGTGGTGGTCTGGGGTTGTGATTGGATTATTGAATGATTGTGGGTGTGACTCGGTAAACGTGAATGAATTCTCTGATAGGTGGACTGTGACGTGATCGCGATCACTGGTCGCTACAGGTGTAACGCGCAACTTTTAATGTATTTATGATTTTCTGATAACAGTTTCATATTTGTGAAAAGTTATATATAAGTGTTCTTATATTAGTGATGTCACGAGCTCAACAGGCTGCAGCTGCAGATGTTGCAGGGTGTGAGGAGTCTCTGCCTGAAACCGTGCACGTTTGGACTGTGAGTTGGGTCTTGGTTTGAGAATCGTTACAGCTCTAATTAGCAGTGATAAAAGTAAAAATAAGTGTTAAATGGCCCTTTACACTCTAGTTTTGCCATTCACACAGTGCATCCACGTGCAGCACTTTCCCTATCACACCCCTAACACATTGGGGTGTGACCCGCTCAATATCCTGAGCCACAGCCGTTGAAAACAATTCTTTGGGTTGATTGTGATACTACAGCCAAGAGGATGTCAGCTGATCCCAATGTGGTCACATGTACACATTGAGGACCCACTTGGGTTCATTCGGACCTTTACTTAGTGCTGACCCCAGATCGATCCGGATGGAAAACGAAAATACTGAGTCTGAACGGGGTCAACGACATCATCAGCAAAATAAAGTCCTTGTCCTCTGGCACCTGCAAAATTGTCTCATAATGTGATCTTGTTCTCTTTCAGGCACTGTTGCACCCACCACAGGCCTTACATTAGGTATGTTTGTGTTTCTGAGATGTTTTAGCATTGGACATTTGAAAGTTAACTATGTTACAGTTCATATGTACATATACTCTTTCCCTAGGTGCTCCAGCCACTTCAGTTGCCCCCACAGGCTTTAGCCTAGCTCTCAACAAGCCGACAGCCTCAGCAACACCATTCTCCCTCAGCGCCCCCACCTCGTCAGCCCCTGCTGGGGCAGGTTTAACGTTTGGCTCTGTCCTGACATCCATGGCTCCGCAGCAGCCTGCAGCCACGGCCTTCACCCTCGGTCTTGGTGCCGCCACAACAACCACCACAGCAGCCTTAACGGGCCCATCACTAGGCGGGGGACTCTTCTCCAACACAATGTCTACAGGTGAGATGCAGACAGCTGGCAAAACACACATAATGTAAATGAAAGTTTTTTGGAAAGCTTATAAGAAATTTTCTTTGCCATTCAGAAACGTATTAAATGTTTTGTAGCTTTGCGAAAGCAGGAAAGAAGCGATTTGTGATTTTTACATAGAACTGTGAGGACATGCAGCTGCAGTGGTTTTGATAATAACTCAACTGTCTTTACTTAAATTTGTCTTTTTTTTAAAGTAGCTTTCTCATAAGTTGTTTGCTTGGTTTTGTAGGTTTGGGTCAGACCGCACTTGGAGGAGGCAGCTTGACATTAGGTTCTCTGTTAGCAACTTCCACAGCTGTATCAGTGGCCCCTGCCCCCAGTCTTGGCCTTGGAGGAGTTGACTTCAGCACTTCATCAGAGAATAAGAGCGACTCATCGTCTGGAGCCAACGCACAGTAAGCCTTATTAATTGGAAATGCTTAATCAACTGTACGGAGCTATCCATGCTTTAATATAAAAAAAAATGTGAACAGCTGTTTTTTTCCTGAGAGGCATTGAGTGGCTTCCTATCGTGAAAAACATTTCCTCTCTCTCCCTCAGGGACAGTAAAGCTCTAAAAGATGAAAACTTGCCCCCAGTCATTTGTCAGGATGTGGACAATTTCCAGTAAGTATTGCTGCATGTGCATTTATTGTTTCTATGCAGACATGGTTGATGAATTCTACTTGTGCCCATGTGTTTTTTCCAATTGCAGGCAAATATATTTGTAAAACCCATTATTCACATTTGATTACATAATAAAAACTTGCTGCTAGTCTCCTGATGATTTATAACTGGGAAATGGGTTTTCTGTTGTCTAAGTATTTTCTAATGGTCTTTATTTCTCTTTCTATAGAAAATTTGTGAAAGAGCAGAAACAAGTTCAGGAGGACATCAGCAGGATGTCATCTAAGGCCATCTCTAAAGTCCAGGATGACATCAAGAGTCTCAAACAGCTTCTCTCTGTCAACGCCAGCGGTCTGCAGCGCCAAGCTCTGGCCATCGACAAGTTAAAGCTGGAGACGGCGCAGGTGAAATGAAAAACAGAGGATACCTGCTGTCTCTGCCTGTAGTTTGCTAGATTTTAATGGTTATGCTCAACTAGGCTACTTCAACTTATATTCAGTTATGAGGAAGTGTAAAAAAAAATCTAGGACGCGATATTGAATGATGTTCCTTCATCTGTTGTACTTGACATAGGTCTTAAATTTCATTGGACTCTTAAAAAGTCTAACATTTTACAAAAACCGTGATCACATCAGCACGCTGTTTCTGATTGTATGTCTGTGTGTTGACCTGTTTGTACATACTGTTAAATATTTTCAGTCACTAAGTATAAACAGACTACAATATAATACAGACAAATATAGTTCCTTGAGAGGGCCATAATTGTTTAGGTTTTACACTGTGTGCTGTTTCCACACCATGACCTGAAATGTAGAAAGGATCTACATTAAGAGAGAATTCTGAGGTTATATAGAGTCTGTCTTTACAGAAATTTGATGAAGCCTGTTTCCTTTCTTCTCAAGGAGCTTAAAAATGCCGACATAGCACTGCGGACACAAAAGACGCCCCCTGGACTTCAACATGAAAATACTGCACCATCTGAGTAAGATAACCAAGCAAATCAAAAGAGGTTTTGGAATCGTGCAATCAGATTGATTCTGATTCATCAAACCTTTTTGCGTTTGACTTTTGAATGAAAACTTGTGTTGAATTTGTCCAAATTTGATGTGCTGTGTTAATTTCACATTTTTCTGTGTGTAGTTATTTCCGCAGTCTGGTTGAACAGTTTGAGGTGCAGTTGCAACAGTACCGACAGCAGATAGAGGAGCTAGAAAACCACCTGACGACGCAGAGCAGTGGCTCCCACATCACCCCTCAGGGTAAGCAGGGTTTTCTCAAGGTGACTTAGATTCAATACAATTATATCTGTAAATCCCTCACACTACAGGATAATCTGTTCGGACCAGCCTGGAGTCAGCAACACACCCGCTGTTGTTGAATGTCACCGAACATTAGGCGCTGCAATTAAGTCTTATAACAAAAGAGAAAACCGTGACATATGCATTTATTTAATGTTCATTTTTGTTTAATTTAAGTTAAACTGATCAAACTCTTAATCAAACAGAAAATTACAGCGCCAAAAAGCAATATAGGTTTTGTCATTGACTTTGTGACTAGTTCTTGCAGATCATTATTTCTTGCTCTTTTTATGTGCTCCCAGATAATGATATTTTTGGTTGTTTTATCTCCAGACTTGACCTTGGCCATGCAGAAGTTGTACCAGACATTTGTTGCTCAGGCCGCCCAGCTCCAGTCAGTTAATGAAAATGTCAAGGTCAGTTCTTTACCTCCAGCTTTGTCTGAAATCGATTAAAATTGTTATGATTTTGGAATAGTTTTAAAATGAGTTTACTAAGGCAGAGTGCATTCATGTTCGTCAGCTTTAAGTTGAGTAAAATCTGATTATTTTGTTGTACGAAATTGTGTTAAATTGTCCAGATTCAAACCCACTGTCATGGTAGTATAATCTTGTGTAATTTACTTTTTTCCTTTTATCCTCTGTCTGGCATTGCAGATCCTGAAGCACCAGTACCTCTCCTTTCGCCGGGCCTTCCTGGAAGACTCCACAGACATCTTTGAGTCCAAACGGGCCTCCAACAGGAAGTGGCAGAGCACGCCGCGAGTCACAACCGGGCCTGCCCCATTCTCCAGTGTGCCCAACGCCGCAGCAGTTGCAATGGCAGCCACGTTGACCCAGCAACAGCAGCCAGCTCCAGGTCTGACTGCCTTCAAGTTCTAGAAAGTTCTCAGCTTCACCTTGTAAACAAGTATGAAGGGGGGGGGGGCAACTCCAACTATTATTGGAGAGGACAGATGATTTGGGGAACAAAAAAGCCAGATGGGGAGAGACAAATGATAACAGGAAATTAAAAACAAAAAGCCTTAGCTGGTACAGAGATAGTGTCTGTACTTTCTCCAGTGAAAGAAAAGAGGGAGAAAGGGAGAGATGAGATAATCTGTCGCTAAACTCCGACAGGGAACGTTTGTGCTGCCTTACCATCTTGTCTCTGACTCTGTTGAAGAGTTAGGCATTGTCTATGTCGTGCGCCTTACAGTAACACATTGACATTTTATAGATGGCTACAGTGTGAATTCAATACCAGAGTCTGGCAGTGTTGGTACGAAGCCTGAACATACAGTCAACGGATGTCATACATACTCTTATAATACAGAAAATCCCTTCACCTATTTCCTCTCTTTGTCTCTGTGCACTCTCTAATGTGATGTGAGATATGAGGCTGACATTATTGAAGAAATTCAACAACACAAGAGAAAGTCCAACTATCTCTGTTTTATCAACTTGAATCTAAGTTTTGATTAGATCTTCTGTATCTCATTGGGTTGGGATGTGTGTGTTTTGCTTGAAACGAGCCGAAACGGTGAAGGAAGTTATGAAGTGGAAATGGACAGAATATGTCTGGGTGATCAGTTAGTGTTTAGATGATCAACTTATTACAATGTTGCTCTTAAGTAAGGAGTCTCAAATTGCCAAATGGCATCAGTTTTCTTTACTGACTCCCAAACATTTTTTTAATACAGAGCTAAAAAGATTGTGATGCCCCCTTCATAGAAGCTACAGCTTCTCTTTTTCAGGGTCTTACCATGTGGGTCCAGGCTCAAATAAAATCTATAGAATGAATAGTTTATTCAATGCAGTATTAATATCCAGCATAAGCATAAAGACAACGACTGAGTAGTATGATTACACTGCTTCCTGTGTTTTACAGGTGCGTTGGTGTATGTAGATGAGCCCTACACACTAATGTTATAACCTTATTGTTTCTGCCACAGCACGCAGTGGTACACAAATAAACTTTTACTTAAACATTTTACAAATGACTTGGTTAAGTAAAGTAGTGTCCATTATGGTTGTTGCCACATCTTTGATGTGTTGAACAAAGTTTCAGCCTTTTTTGTAGGCTTTGATTTGTACGCCATTTCACTGGCATATCAGGGCACCCACTTTTGATCAACAAAATTACGTGACTCTGTATATTAGCATGTTTCTGATGTTGTAAAGACTTAAACTGAAAGCAATATTTTAATTGGTTCCATTTACAAAGGCAGCATGGTTAATAAGTCTCGCAAAAAACTAAAGCTAGGATTCAATTGCAAATTTGTCCTTCATTTTTGACACTAGTCTTCAAATGTGCTCAGACTCACAGTACAATACATTTGATCACATAGCAGGGCATGCAGAAGCTATTCTGAATTAGCATTTTGGTGATTTAATCATGTGCTGAGTAGGAAGGGGAACATTCTTTAAATTCATTGCTTAACCTTAGATTACAAACATAAGATACAGTATCATTGTCGATATGTAGGGTACATTATCATCCCTATTGCCAAAGAATGTTTTATTCTCTAACATTTGACTTATAAACAAATGATCGCTAGAGATATTCCGATGCCTTTTTTTTTTCTCTGATACTGATTTTGATACCTGGATAATGACACCTAATGATACCAAGTACCAATTTCTGATTTCCAATGAAAGCAAATGGCAGTATTATCTGGGCAAAACGAATCTACTTTAAAGACATGGTATCGGATTAGTGCTAAGAAAAGGCAGTTCCGATGCTGGTATCAGCACATCTGTATTGATCACTAGTGGATGTATTTGTCTCTTCAATATTTATTACCTATTTATTTCTAGTTTATTTTTGTAAATTTCTGTAGCTTACATAAGCAATTGGAACGGCAGAGTGGCACGTATCAAAGCACATAACAAACAACGCAGCTTTACTTTAAGCAGTTTCTTGTTTGTGCAGCCAAAAGCTTGTTTCAAGTTTGTCCCTCATTGGACATAAGCTGAAAGGTGCCAAAAGACTCAGGACTGAAACTATTTAATTGCCTGAAATGAAAATTCAAACAAATCTTTTTCCATTCCTGCACACATACTTAGGCTTGTGGAAGTGAGACTGATGACATTTTCAAAATTAGCCCAGTTCTCTGTCACTAGATACAGTGTGTTTGTATACAATCAAGTGTTGTGAACAAAGATCAGAAGTTGGTCATTTAAGCTTCATGTACAATATGAAGAATCTGTAGTATCTCACTGTTGAGTACTAAAATGTGTTGGTTTGGTTGTCCGAGGCCATACCACTGTTACTTGATTTAAGCTGTTTCACATAAGGGCTACTGTCAAGTGTAACCGGTCTGGTTTATTTTATATTTCCAATAGGTCAAATGAAGATGCTAAAAGTGCTGTTCACAAGATGTAATTTCAGGTATTTTATCCAAGGTGGAGGTTCTTTGTAAAGACTCTGGTGAGATAGGAAATGTTCTTAGTTGAGCTGAGGGAGTTTGGTAGTTTTCAGAGAAGGATGCTTGCTGCTTCCACAGTGTTGCTTCAATATCACGATTATTTCAAACATTTCCTCGATTATGATTAATGAACGTTAATTTAATTGCTTTGGTGTCGAGACTGTCCGCTCAGGACAGCTTCGCTTGCTAGCGTCCTCCATTTCCGTAGAAAAACAATGCAACATTACTGCCTTTCTCTACTAATCAAGAGCTCTAGAGGCCATGCAACAGGTCATGCTGATAGTGAGCGCCCTCTGCTGGATGCCAACTCCTTCAGATGGCCTGATGCGCTTCTTGAATGTACATTTTGAATTCTAACACTTGACAGTTCAATTATGAATTACCCCCCCCCACGTTCAAATTTGAATATAAAGTGACAGCTCGTGTTCACCCGTCTGTATATTGCTCCAGTCACGTGATGATACTCTCTTGATGAAACAGCTGCTTTGGACGTTCCAGTCCTCTGTTAAACAACCCTGACGTTTTGCATGGTTTTGGACTGAATTGCCAAGTTGCCCAGAAACTTTACCATTTTTCGTGGTTTAGCTTGGAGTTTAACATACCGTCTTCCAAATCTCTACAGTCATACTGGACACAACAATGATTATAATAGTGATTATGTGATAAAGTTATTGGTCAAAGCTGGTTGGGCCTTTAAGGTGGTCATCGATAACCTCTCAATGTCTGTCAGTAACATGTATGCAAATGCAGACTGCTGTATTTTCTCGAATGCCATTACAACAGCAGGGGTGATTCCATTTACCTCTTTTTTTTTTTTTTTTCTTTTTTTTTACAAGTGAAGGAATTTAAATGTGATTTTATTACATTTTGGATTACTAGCGCCACAATTTGCCTACAGTGCTTCACTAAACTTGAGTTATTCTGAGACGAGAGAATCATGAATGGCTTATTTGGTATTTTTCTTTTTTTTAGTGTGTGTGTTATGTTGAGCTTCAGCGGAGCAGTTCACCAAAATGGGCTCAATGAGTCGATAAAATCCAGAAAGTCTGGTCTTTTGAATGGTTGGCTGTTACTGTTTTGAACGCTTCTTTTCTTTTTGACTATCATATGCTTACATCATGCCTTTTTTGCAGTGCTTTTTTCTACATGTGGAGCTACGACTCCCATAACAGGTTTTCATTGTTGGGGTGTTGAATTAGTTTAAGTAGTTTCTTGTGATCTCTCGTGTGCCAAGCTACACCTTGATTAATGTTTACCTGAAAACGACACTACTTCGTTAAACAGTCACCTCGCCTACATCGGACTTAGTATTTGCAGCCTGTAAACATTTGTGCATTTATCCAAGGTGTTGTCTTGGTGATTTTTAAGCTCAAAGAATGTCTAGGAATACACTGAAAGTATTTAAGCAAACACCAAACCACAAAGGTTGGTGTGTTCCTGTCCTAACTTCCACAGGCAAACTAACATATCAGTAAGTTTAATTTATTTAGGTGATTTCACAGAGAGGCAGGTACAAATGCCAAATCCACAGTTCTTATCTAACTCTTGAGTGCTTTTACTTGTAGATGAATGTGTTCAAACCTATATAACCAATGCCTGTTGATGCAGTATAGTTAATATATAATATGGTGTGCCTTTTTAAACTATATTCAACAGTTGTGTGATTCTTTTTCTTTTTGGTGTATGCTAGTTCATTCACTCTCAGAAATTCTTAAAATTTTTGAAACTTGTCCAATGCAGTAGCAGTTAGCAATTAACAATCAATCCTGTTCAAAACTGTTTGTTTGTGTTTTAATGTAAGTGGACTTGCATATTAAATTGACAATAAATCCATTTTTAAACAAAGAAACGTTTGTCCTTGTTTCTTTTTCGACTGAAGTTGATGTAAGAATGCAGACTAATTGGACATTTGATTGTACAAAAGAAAAACAAATTGCTTAGAAGAAAAAGACAAGTTTCAGAGTGAAAGAACTAGCAGCATTTTTTATTTCCACAGTCTGTCAGCAATAGTAACTGCACTGCATTACCAGGGATGTAGTAGTCTAAAACAAGATTTTCTCCAAAACAATATTTCTAAAGGGCATATATTTGTGAAAGCATGGTGTATTGCCTGATTCTGCAGATACACTGTTGTATACAGATATGATGCATTTATACGATTACAGAGTAGATACTTAGCAAACACCACCATTATATGCTGGATAAATCTTTTACCATCATGTATCTTCTTGATACTTACTCCAAAACAACTTATTGAAAACCTGCTTGATTGGGATTCCTGAAGTTTTTTTATATAAATGCAAGCAATCGAACAAAGTGAAAAAAGAAGCCAGTTTCACGAGACAGTAGTTCAAGTCACAAAATGTGTTTTTTGCCATGGTTATCATTCCTGCCAGATTTTTCTGTCAAAGGAGAGGAGGCACATAATTGACCTCACAGACAACACATTCAGAGTAAAAGGATATGCTCTCTCTCCGTGCCTTAGGGACCCAGGCACCCTTGGGGGCAGGGTTTGGAAACCCCTTTGCCTCGGCAGTGGGCACTAGCTTGGGCTCTTCTACCCTTGGAGGTATTACCTCTGACTTTTTATTTTCAATGAATGTTCCCTTTTATTTTGCCCTTTCTTTACACACTCTACCATCCAATGTCAGACAGCTAGTTTTTTTTAGAGCCTTTGTGTTCTTTTGTAACGTATAGTGTAGGTAGTGTGTGTGTGTCTGAGTGAGTGAGTGGTGCAATCAATGCTTGGCATTTTTTTGTTTCTCTGTTCTTCATACAATAAGTCAAGTGCGTTCACACCACAAGAAAACTGAACAAACCCATGTCACTGTTTACATTTACACGTGACTGACTCATTGAATGGAAGATTTGGCTGAAAAAAACATCACCCGTCGAGTTATTCTAAAACAAATCTGTGTGTATATGTCACTAAAACATCTGGCAAATCCACTTGACAGTGTGGGAACAAGTGGTCTGAACGCACACAAAAGTTGGTGTGTTCTCTTGTGGCTGGTATGAAAAACCTCCTCGTTGTTTTCCCTCACCCTCTGACCTTTGCTTTGCCATGCAGTGTTCTGTGGGTCATACTGCAGTGTCCCCATCAGAAGTCAGGCTGTGTGTATGGTGCTGTATTGATCAGGCTGTGGCATTTGTTTTTGCGTACGTGTTTGCTAATATCTGCCTGTGTTTACTTCTGAGGCGCTGCTGCTTGTGTTGGTTTCTAGTGTATCAGGCCCACAAAACTTACACCCGTATTACTTTTTCCCACAGGTTTTGGTGGTGGGCCAGGATTTGGTGGGGTGGGGACTGGGGGGTCTTCTTTTGCCTTCTCCTCCACCAGTAAGCCCACAGGAGGCAGTCTGAGTGCAGGTACATACATACTGTATCTACCCCCCTTCATACCCAGACCCCTAGAAATGACGGAGTCGGAACAGACTTCACTAGCTTACCTCCTAAGTTGTGATGTTTCTCGAAGCATATGTCACTTAGAAGAAATTGTACGAGCTTCATATATAAACTAAATTAATCGTGAGCAAAACAACAATGTACTACCACTGTGCTATTTATAGTTTTTCTGCTTCCTCTCTGCTGTGAGAAGCCAGCAACACCATCATTTATATGTCTTGTAGGTATTTGACACAGGTGTGCCGGCAGTTTGGCCACAACAGTTGACAGTTTAGAATAGGGGGGGTTTATACCAGATGGACAAAATCTGTTCACAACTTATCAAAAATACTAGAATCTCTGTAGTACCTGGGTATTCTTTATTATCATTTATTTCCACTATCATTTTAACTTCTCTTACATTTTTCTGTCTGATGTGTGTCTTTGCTTTTCTAGGCTTTGGCAGCAGCAGCAACTCAGGCTTCAACTTCAGTAACCCTGGCATCAACCCCTCGGCTGGTCTGACCTTCGGCGTGTCGAACCCACCTGCCGCAGGCTTCGGCACGGGAGGGCCCCTTCTCCAGCTCAAGAAGCCCCCTGCTGGTAATAAAAGAGGCAAGAGATAGGAGCAGGGAAAGACAGAGAGAAACCCTGCGACTGACCAGCTTGGGGTTTGCACTGGGTAAAGCCTGGTCTCCCAAAAAGCATTCAAGCGCTACAATAGTCCAGTCAAAGAAAATGTGCATTTGAAGAAATCATCAGGGACGTGATTGAAAACAACACCGAACAGCAGCACAGGATCATAAAATCACATTGACCAGCTAGTGTTATCTTTCTCTCTTACAATTAAATTGAGTATTATTCCAAATTTCTGAGTATTCATACAAAAAATTGATGAAAAAATAGCGGCTGCATATATGTAAATATGAGAATCAGATTTGCATCACCTCCGAACATCACGATCTGGAGTGCTGCTATGCTTTTTGGGTTACCAGCCATGGACAGAGGTGGGTCAAATACACGTCATATCAGCTATGTGAGGAATTGCTTTAGTCTGAAAATTTCACAAAGATGGATAAGCTTTTGCGCTAAAATGTTCTAAAACATTTTCTATCAGCTGGAACCCTGCACCCAGATGCCTCAAATAATGACGTGGCCCAAATCTTGTCCAAGAAAGGGTAAGATATGTAGTAAGGAGAAGAAGGTCATGGGGTATTGGTTGGGAACAGCAGAGATGGTGTCAGTGGGGGTTATTATCTGATTCTGGATAGTTTTTTTAGCCACAGGAGAATGTCCAGGGTGGGTTTTTTGGGGGAAGCACAGTTTTATTTTTGTACCAGGTGGAGAAAGAGACATTGGAGAGGGGTAAAAAAGGGGGACTGCCACCTCGGGATCTAGTCCACATAACCTGTGTTGTTTGTTTTCTCTAGACTCCATCCTTATAATTGTTTAATTTACTTTTTAGACACTTTCTGTTTTCCCCTGTGTACCACTGTAAGAAGTCGGGAGAGGAAACTGCGCTGTTTGTATTACATGGCTCCCGTAAGATGTTAAGTTAGCTCAATCTAAAAGGGATTTTCACGAGCAGATTCCACCCAAGCGACTCAATTTATAGACGTGCTAGAACAAGTTTGCACTTGCCGGTGTATGTGACCTGACAGTGATTGTGTGAATGTGCATGTGTGTCTATCATAGTTGCTCGACTTCTGTTGTGGTTGTGTGGCGGGTAATCTGCTTTTTTAAACTGTCCAAGTCTTTTCAGATACCAAATACTGGTAGTTGTACTATTATTTTCTAATAACAGTCTGTGTAAACCTGTATTTTCAAGAAGCTGTTTAATAATAAAATCTTCAATATGCCGTCTTGCCTGTTCACGGCATCACTTCAATAAATGTGTTGACACAGAATGTCAATGTTTGTCCACATATGTCTCTGGGTTCAAAACAGGTCATTGTTAATTTGGCAATAAAGATTGATTTATGTTGCTCTAACTTTCATAACAGATAATGAACTATGTCAACTTTGCATGGTTACAGAGTGTCTATTGCAGTTCAACCTTTTTTATATAGAGACAGATTATGACACATGATCTCAAGGCAAATTATAGAGCAAGAAAGTTTAGACAGACCTGGACTCTGGGTACACAGACATCTGTTTAAAATGGTTGGGTTTAGAGGAGAGAAATTAGTCAGAGTGGGGAGAGGGACCAGGATCAGCTGTATATACTGTTCTATTCAAACTGCCAGACTGGTTTTTAGAATAACTCGAATAGCACAAGAGTCCACACCTCTGCCAAGGCCCTATCGTCCCCTTATATTCAATCATGCTGTGCCACATGACCTACACTTAGATTGAATCAAGATCTGTACATTATCCCCCTGGAAAATTGGTGAAAATTAAAAAAAAACAATGTAATGAAACATCCTGGAGCTGCTCCTTTGTCCAGACCGGCACCAACATTGAATGTGCTCAACCCACATACCATACTTTCCCCAAGTTCATGGAAATCTGTTTTTTTGCGTAATCCTGCTGACAAGTGGACAGGGGCGGCCACATAAGCTCCTTGGCGGTGGTAATGATAGTAAGTGCAATAATCATTTCATCAGCAGTGATAGCAACACAAATTGTTATAAATAATAGTAATCACTGTTCCTTACAAGTAGCAGATGTGAATGGCACAGCTCCAGATACCTGCACAATGATGACACCTGCTGTATCAAGTCAAAATATCTGCGGTGACGTGCTCCTAATGATAGGGGGCGGTAATGGGCTTCAAGCCTCCCAGACTTATTTCAGAAGACAGGAAGAAGAGCGCCGTTGCTAGGCGACCATGCTGCACGACACAAGCACAGGTCTGGCATCACATCAACGGTGCAGAGAATAAATTCCCTTTATTTTAACCAGCGACCTTCACCACGAAACCACACAGGTAACACTGGTGTGTTTATTTTGCAAAGTATTTGTAGTATTTCAGTCAGAAAAATGTTTTCATAACTCTAAAGTTAGTTTGAGGTTCTAAGTTAATCCATGAATGCAGAAATAATTAGCTCAGCACAGAGTTATTTACCACATCTCTGTTCTTAAGCTAACCAAGCTAACTACTTCAATGCTACAATGGTGTCAATAAGTTTCTTTATTCACCGTCTATCCAGCAGATT